GGTTTATAGACCATATGCGCATGCAGGACTATATCCGTATAGGCTAGATAGGTGATAATTGGTAAATTTGGGTGTTCTAACCGGCCTGCCGAGCTCCAATACTCGGTCATCGGGCTTGTCGCTAGGCACTCCATGTCTACCACCACCCCGACCCGACGCCATGAGAAATATGTCGGGCGAGGCACTGCCAAAGGTGGCCTGCCGCAATCAATGATGATCGCCCCATAAAACGGATAAGTCCCAACAGCCCGGCGCCACCCAATCACACAAAGGGGAGATGGGATTCTAAGCGGGAGGTGGAACCATAATTTCAACCTCAGGTCGATCATGTCTTCCATTCTACCATCGCTGAGTCATCATATAGCTTAGGAACCCGCCCAATTCCCTACCATAGGTAAGTCAGATCACCGATGGAGCCCGGGTGGTAACGGAAATTATGTGGATTATTCAATTATTGTCAGAAGAATGAGGTTGTGTGGTGGTTGACCTGGCGCCCCTGGAGGGGGGGGTCAACCAGTTCTCGGAAACAAGTCAGCTCTATCTCCGCCCGCAAATGCAAGGACACCCGTGATATTTCATTTAGCAATATTACAATTCCACGTGAGCAGCTCCCATAACGAAATTCATTGGAGCTGCGACATCAATACTGACCATTTCGATATGATCCGGGCCACACAATTCGCTCCTTTGGCCTCGGAAGAAACCCGCGTGTAATGCATTATTATCTCAACCCCTCGTGCAAAGGCCAAAAATTGACCCCATGATAAAGACAGTTCTTCGCATCAGCTGAAAACAGTGCAATACCAGCGACACGGCGGATATAAAGCATAGCATGCCAGAGGCAATCTCTCTAGGATAGCCGAGAATGGGGGTAACCAAAAAGAACAGGCTCCAGAAAACTGTTTCAGAGATTAAACTGAAAAGCCGGATAGTACACTTGATTTAAGCCCGTTCCGTAGTTAGTATAGCGTGGATGGAATAGCGGGAGAATTTGTGGGGAGCTCACCAAAGGTCAAAGAGAGTTGAGGCAAAAAAGTGTAGGAGGTAAGAACGACATTTTTATCATATATTGAAGGCTTGCGGGAATGTCAAGACATTCACTTTTTGTTGCTTGTGGGGGTTAGGGTTTGGTAGAGAGCACAGCTGCAGAATATAAAACACTATAAATAATCCTGATACCGCTCAGCCGCAATCTATTCCTTTGGGTGACTTATCCTAGGTTTTGATTTCCTGAAGTACTCAAGTCGCCGGATTGAAGCCGGGTTTTGTTTTTTTAGTGCGTCACCACTGTGGTAGGAGTGACCTCAATCTGGCGATTGGAGCGTGGTTCGAGCACTTCAAAAAAGGTACCGGAGATTTAGGTCCGATTATATGAACTTGTAAATAGAGACCTAGCAAGAAGTATCAAAAATATGAAAAAACCATCCGCTAAAAGGCCAGATGAAGGAGATTGGTTACTGCAGTGGGGTTTTTCGAGATTTATAGAATTTTGATAGAACCTCTATTTAGATTTCAAAACTTGTAATTTTAGTGAGGGTAAAAAACAATGTTATGTCAGCCATTTTGGTTATATTTTAATCACTGCTTTTTCTTCTTCGCTGAATAACTACAGTACTTATTTTAAATGTAAATACCGGTAGTCCTGGGACCCTTTACCCAATATTGGACCGCATATAATATATTGATTGTTTGAACCTAAACATGAGATTGAAATTTATCATATCAGTAGGGTTATAGTAAAGCCCTAACATTACATTTTCTTACCCTTAGTAAAATATAGGATAATGATATGATAGCACAGTCGTGTAACACATTTTCACAAGCCTCGTACCACTTTTGAAGTGCTCGAACCTTATGCCTCCTATGTGAGCTGGCGCCTTGCTAGAGGCATAGAGATAGATGCCGGCTAGGAAGGATCGTGGGTATAGGGACCATCAATTTGGTATTACCAACAAAGCACTATAGCGAATTCTGTCGCTAGTTTCAGCCAGGATGATTAGACTAAGGCCCTGTTTCGTTGCGACTCATATTATAAATGCCATTCTTAGCGAGAGGCAGAAAATCACATCTTCCGAACAATTACCGGAAGTCAGAATTTTGTATATCTCACCAGTTCGGCATCAGCACTTTTATTTTTCTTTATTTTTCTTTTCTCATTGTGGTCGTTGATAAGGGGTGTATGGGTAGACGAGGGTCCAAAAATTCTGCTCGGACCACTTTTTTCCCCATATAGCATTTTTAGAAATCAAACGTTTGACAACCGAACAGGCCCTAAATATATTCATGGCTATGCAATGTTGGAATAGTGATTGGTCGAACGGTGGCCTCAATGATTGCTACAAGGGGTTTTATGGAACCGGAGGAGGAAGGTGTGAAAAGAGAGAGAATAGAATCGATCTTATCGGCTAAGAGTCAAGAGCAGGAGGAGAGAACTGAGAAAAGGGAAGGGTGTGAATTGATGGCAAGCCAAAGAAGTCTGCGGATTGGTCTTGAAAGCAAACATAAGGCGTGGACTTGTGTGCTAGGTATCAGAGGTACGTAAACGGTCGCATATATCTGCGAATGTTCCCAACTCTTGTATATAACAGTTCTCATATGTTCAACATGCAATCGTGTGTGAAAAGCGAGTGAGTTCCCATGATTTCTTCATCCCCAAGAATTGGGGGGGTGCTGGCTTTTAGCAGCTCAAGCACGAATGGTATATATATATATATATATAATATTCCAACTCTCTGATACCACGAGTGTGAGTCCATAGGAGTTCTGAGCTAGGAATCTTGCTATGTCCCAATACTCAACGTACCACTACTAGACCGGGTAAAGACAAGGAGTGCTGTTTCGGCAGACCACGGGTAGGTAATTTATTGCATGACATTCGCACAGCCATTGAACCATGTTTCTCTGTCTCGGTGCATCTCATTAAGAGATCCGAGTTTGACTGTCAATCATTACTAGCCCCCCATTCCCGATTCACGGGTTTGCTTAGCTACTTCCTCAGCCCCCTGAAGAACACAACCCAGAACAACTACACCGATGCCCGGGCGCCACCAAGCAACTCAAGACCCGCTGTGAGACTTTGGAGCGGTTTTATAAAAAGGTCTAGGATGGCGATGCCTGCTTTAAGGGGCGGGGGTTGGGCGGCGATACGCGATATCTAGGTATTCCTATAAGTGACAGAAGTTGACGGTCCGAGATTTGATCATTCCAGAAAGCATGGGAGGGTGATGGTAGAATAGATCGGATATACGGAGGATCGTTGTTCTCGGGAGTTAAGGGTATAAGGGGTTTTAGTTCTAAAGAATAGCTAGAAAGGCCTAAGAGTAGGTCGTGGAACTAATCAGGCAGACCATCTTTGCCTATTTATTTCCCCCCTTGTACTGTTCTTTCACGTGTTAATCTCAATCCCTAGATAGTGCTACATCTCCTACCCCCTACCCCTATCTCCTCACTCCCCCCTCGCCATACGTTTCCCGCTTGCCCCTCACATCCGAATAGCAGGCCCGAACCCTCTTTGGCATGCTATGATAGTACCAATATTTTCCGTAATTGCTACGACACCCGTGATGAAATTCCTGGAAAACTGCAAGAATCCTACGAGCCACCGCTCGGGCATGCTGAGCTAACAGAGAAGTGGAAAGAGGCCGGGCTAGCGAAAGCGAGAAGTGGCCAGGAGGGTATTTCCCCCGAACCCTAGCGGGTAGAAGTACAAAGCTGGGGGGGCACCGGTGATCCTCGGCAACGAGGCGTTTTCGCGCCCAATTTGCAGAAGCACAGTTCAAAACAAAAGGCAGGGGTGCACCCCCAATTGTGAGTATGAATACCTGCTCTTCGGCCGACTAGCATTGGAAGAAAAAGGAAAGCAACACCTCCTTTGAAATGGGATCTTATTCAAGTACACTCACGCAGGACTCCCTCGACCAAATGACTCTGATTGCCGCCCCAAGTTTGAATTCTCCGCTTCCTAAAACATTTGGAGGAAGTGGCGGAGCCGGTAAGAACAAGACGCGAGTCGGCGAGTGTAGTGAAAATGGCGGGAGACTGGAAGAGAGTGGCGAAATTGTATCGGAATCATTTGCCGCGCGGTCTGGAGGAGCGATATGGCGAAAGTAGGAAATGTGCACTCATCGGGAGCATCACGCGCCTAAATAGGAGGCAGAGGGAGAGACTAAGGCAGGTACGTAAATACAGCGGATTGGTGTGTGGATCATTGGAGCGATTGAGGGAAGCACGTTCAAGCCAGAAAATAGTGATCTAACCCCTAGACCTTGGGTATCTCAAGCTACTAAGTCCGAGAACCTTCACATCTAGATACATACATTCAGTTATATAATTCCGGAATCGCCTCTTTACCTTGCTTGTATTCCTAGCCCGACGCACTCGCACAATAAGATTAGGAAACTACCGCACTTATGGATAAAGCTCCCCTAAAATGAGCCATAAAACCCCCCCAACAGCTAGTAAACTTTCCCAACCATTTTCAAACACCGCTGAACAAACCCACCCATTACGCGGTCCCCCCAGAAGCCCCACCTTATCCTATACCTACAAAGGTTCACCTAACCACCGTCCCCTATCTCAGAATCCCGATCACACACTCTGCGGTTCCACAACTCAGCAGCATACCGCCAGAGTCTCTCCAGCCACGAAAACGCATGGTGGCCAGGTGACTGCCAAGGATTTCCGATATCAGCACCCTGCTCTGCTTCTGCCCATCTGGCCCTCATGGAAAGGGAGTGTTGATCTCGCAATAACTTCAATCTCCGGACATATTCCAAGGTAGTGAGGTGCTGTTCACCGAGGGATTTAGAGAATCCCTTGTAGGCTCGCTCGTAAGTCTCTTTAGCTTGAGAATACCTCTCCTGTTTTTCATATAGGCAAGCCAGACGCGCGAGGGTTTCACAGACATTTAGGTGCTCTGGACCGAGTGTGCTTTCGCGAGTTGACAGGGCACGTTGAAGTAGGTTTTCCGTCTCGGCATACTTTCCCTGAGCTTCAAGTACTAGAGTTAGGTTGTCAATAGTGGACAGTACACTAGGGTGGTCTGTGCCCATAGCTTTCTCTCTGCCTTCTAGCACACGCCGGAACATTTTCTCCGATTCAATGAATTTTCCCCACTTTAGCAAGAGCATAGACAGGTTATTGACAACTATCAAAGTATTAGGGTGGCCCGATCCAAAACATTTTTCGTACCCCACCAATGCGCGGCGATTCATCACCTCGGATTCTTCGTACCTCCCTTGACGCCGCAGCACTTGAGCCAGGTTGCTGACAGGTATCAAAGTATTAGGGTTTTCCGATCCAAAGCATTTCTCGTACCCCTGCAATGCGCGGCGATTCATCGCCTCCGATTCATCGTACCTTCCTTGACTCTGCAGCACCTGAGCCTGGTTGTTGACAGCCGCCAAAGTATTTGGGTGGTCCGATCCAAAACATCTCTCGTACCCCTCCAATGCGCGGTGATTCATCACCTCTGATTCTTCGTACCTCCCTAGATCCCGCAGCGCCAGAGCCAGGTTGTTGGTAGCCTTCAAAGTATCAGGGTGGTCCGATCCAAATTGTTTCTCGTACTCCTCCAATGCGCGGCGATTCATCGCCTCTGATTCATCGTACCTGCCTTGCACCCGGAGCACCTCAGCCAGGTTGTTGACAACCATCAGGGTATTAGGGTGGTCCGAGCCAAAACATCTCTCGTACCCCTCCAATGCGCGGCGATTCATCACCTC